TCATAAAATATAAATTGACCAAAATACCTCTAATATATTTTGGAGGTATTTTAAGTAATTTATATTTTACAAATTATTTTTTTTATATTTTTATTAGGTGCGTCTTGATGAGAAGAATGAACAACTAAAATTTCAAGTTATTTAGATTCGTAGAACAAAAAAATGAAAATTCAAATACGAAATGAGATTGTAACCGTCAGATCAGTCCACAATGAATCTGGATCATTGGCTGATATTGTTGCAGGTAACCCGTGGGCTGACAGAATCCACTCCGTTGTCTTTCGAAGGTTCAAAAAGCACCCCATGGAAGTTTGCTTATTCTAATTTTTAGGAAGCGTCTCTTGGTTTTTCTTTTTTTTCTTGCCTTTTCTCTCTCCTTTTTTTTCTTCTAATCTTAAACTCCTTTCTTTATAACCATGTCATTTTTCTCTCTCTAATCATATCCATTCTCTCTCTACTTGTTCCTTATTTTGCTCTCTAGATCCTCTCTTTCTACTCATCTCTTTTCCTTTGTAACTCCTTTCTCTAACTATGCTCTTCCTTTTCTAACTCCTCTCTAACAATACCCTTGCGCATTCTCTCTCTCTCAACCATGTCTTTTTCCTCTTAACTCCTTTTTCTAAACATGTCCTTTCTTTCTCTAACTCTTCTCTCTCTAATGGTGCCCTCTTAGCTCTTTTCTCTCTTTAAATATATCTTCCCTCTAATAGTTGTGCCTATCTTGCTTTATCTAAATCCTCTTTCTAATCATGCCTTTTGATGTCTACCTCACTCTTAGCTCCTTTTTCTTTCTAATTGCTTTCTCTAACAATGCCCATGTCCATTCTCTCTTTCTAACCATGTCTATTTCCTCTTAAACTCCTAACCATGTTCATTCTCCCATGGTGCCCTCTTTTAACTGCTTTCTCTCTCTCTCTCTGTAAATATGTCCTCTCTCTAATAGTGTGCTAGCTTCATTTTTTTTTTTGTTTTCTAAAGTTGTGTGCTAGCTTCATTCTCTTCCTAAATGCGTCTTTTCTTTGTATCTTTTCTCTCTCTAATCTCGTCTTCTCTATCCCTTTCCCTTTCTCTGCAAAGCCATGAAACCTAATCTTTGTAAAGCTTTGTTGGATCACCGTAAAGCACGAGATTCCAAAGAATCCCCAACTTTCAGTAACCAAAAGTGCCCGTAATTCTTTGCTTCCCAAGTATTTGTTGTTCTTACATCCTCTTTTGCGAACTTAAGCACAATACAATTGGGGTAGAAGTCTTTCGCTTTTTTTTTTCCCTGTAAAAATTGAACAAGAAAACCCATTAAAATATTAAAATCCCTAAAGCAAAGGTCAAAAGATTTTCTTCCCAAAATCTCAAGGTACAGATTGAGAGCAACAATGCACATGAATATGTTGGCTTTTACGAAGCAAAAACCCCAAGAGAACAAAGACCCCTCCATCACACAAATCCCGGACCCCATCCTTTACAAACTGCACCTCACCAATTGGAACAAAAATAAAATTACACCAAAAAATATGGAATGATTTAACAAATGAATACATGCTTTTCGGCCCCCTTTCTTCTCACCCGAAGCGTGTTGTTAGATTCCAGGCAACAAACCCACCAGAAAACAAGCATATAAGATTCCAGCAGCTCCATCAATTTTCAACACCTCAACCTTTTTTGTATCAGAGAGGTCAGATACAACCCCAATAAGCCAGACACTAAGAGCTTCACATTCCATACCCAATACTCTATACCCCAATGCTCGATACATGCAAGCCCATGTGTGTCGGATTCTGCCAAATAGCGCATCTCAAATTCCGGCAAGTCAAGTGTGTCACCTTGCATTTGTAGTTCTAAAGCTCCTCTCGTCCCTCTTGTGATTCAAGGCCCTGGTCTCAGACTCCCCGCTGCTTGGGTAGTCACTACCTATAGGGGATGAGGCATCCTCTAGTTTCAACGAGGCATTGGTCCTCGTGGTGGGGGGCCCACCAACCTCTCGGGAGTGGGACCCTCCGCTATGCGTGCCAGAGTAGGGACCACCGCTATGTCCCGAGGAGTGGGGTCCACCACTATACCCTTCGGGGAAGTCTGAGCTGTAGTCTGTGCTCCCAAAGGCCATGCGACGGAATCTGTTGATATCAACAGAGTACTGGGTGGAGTTGAACACAGTGCTCTGACCAGGCTTCACCCCATTGGTCAAGTCCGATATGTCTGAGTCGTTCTCTAGTGCCCTAACCACCTGAAAAACCACATGAAGGGCATTTTGGTAATGTGCTTCAGAAAGAACTTTCCCCTCTTTGGTGTTTCTCTTTTTGTATCTTCTAAGGGACCATTTAGGGAATTTATATAATTGAAATTTTTGTAATCCCTGTGTATTTTTAATGATCTGTAGTTGGAAAATTTTCTCCTTTCTATTTCTACTTTCTCAGCTCCTTCAAGAGGGTGGCCTTGGAATTTGCAGTTTGGTCTCTGCAAAGCCTATATATCCTCATCTTGATGAAAAATAAATTTGTTGGTAACTAGTTCTGTAGTTTTTCTCAATGAATTTTCTCCCATTTCCATGAAGTATGAGCTTTGGTAGTTTGCAGTTGAGTAAATTTTCCTCTTTGTGCCTAGTATCTCATCTCCTCCTATGGGCTGCTCAGAATGCAGCAAGGTAAATTTCTTCGTCACATCCATTTTCTCTATTAAATATATAGGAAAATATCATTTAAGGGGTCAAAACCCCTTACAAAATCATTAAATGGTTCCAAAGATCCCAATTAACATTAGAGGGTTTACTTTTAAATTTTCTATTCACTTTATTGAATAGATGAGGAAATATCATCTAAGGTGTTAAAGCCCCTTACAAATTATTGAAGGAGCCAAAGATCTCAATTAACATTAGCGGGTTTACTTTTTTATTTCCATTTCACTTAAGTACCTCCTAAAAAACTTCTCAAATTCCCAAATTGTCCCTATTGGTTGAGAAACATGGAAAAGCAAGGTGATTTCGGCAATTTAACTCACCATGAACAAGCAGGGGTATTCATGTCATATGAATGGGGCCTCTTAGATGATTTAAATTACTGAAATGCCTATGCTTGTTTAGGATTCCCAGACATGAATAGAGGTACTATGGGTAACTTTTGAAGTACTTGAGTGAAATAAAATTCAAAATTAATCTTCCAATATTAATTGAGATGTTATAACCCCTTGAGAGGATTTTATAAAGGGTTTCAACCCCCTTGATATTTGTTTGGTAATATGCATATGAACTGCTTTCATCACTAAGTACATTTTCTCCTCAGTTTATTTTCTCCTCTCCATCAAGGGGAGGTTTGGTAATTTGCAGAGAATTTCAGCTTCGAGAAGAGGTATTCGACAATTTGCAGTTAAGTGATGGTGTCTTTTTATTCTTATTTGGGGAGGTAGGAATAGTCTTCTTTATTGATTCTAATTAGAGAGAAGGCGCACAGGAAAAGTTAATAGGTCTATTTACTTTGACAAGGGCATCATCGTAAGGGAGGACTCATCATGCACTGGTATTTGAGTGTTTTTGATCTTTTCCTTCTTAAATCACTTATTACCGATAGAAATCCTCCAAATATACACATAATAATAAAATAAATATAGGGGGTTCTCCATATTTAATGACCGGTTACAGAAATAGAAAATTTCAAATACAGTGAAATATTACCACCAAAAGGATTGACTGCTGCTTGTAATTAATGAAAGACACACACACACACACACACACAAGGACAAAGCGAAAGAGGGACAGGATATGCTATCAAATGTGAGGTATATGGTATCTTACACTGCATGTTTCCAAAATAGAGATTTATAGACAATAGTGATCACCCAGGCGAGTAACCTATGGTTTGCCATTGTCGAAGCCAAGAAAGGCACTATCATTTATAACCATCAAATATTGCAAATGGACAGTTAAGATGTTATGACGAACACTTAGTATGGTAAATCCTACATGGTATCACCATATACGTCTCCAGTGTGTGTGCATGTGTAGAGAGATAGAGAGAGATCCAAAGCTTACCTGAGCCATGCGAGGCCGTTTTGGAGCCGAATGGCGAACACAAGCAGCAGCGGCCTCAATCATGCGAAACATATTACTTCCCACAAAGTTTTGCTCAAGCCTGGGGTCAGCCAACTCTTCAAAATTTCCAGTGTCAATAGCCTGGCTCAGCAGCGGTCGAGCCTACAGAGTTTACAGTCACAAGTGTAAACATATCTGAATCACCAACATATTCAGGAACCAACAGATCATGCACTAGAAAACGAGTTACCAAATAAAGAACACCAACAAAGAGACTTGAATACATGTTAAAAGAGACATCGAGGAGTTTTCAGCTATCCAGAGATCTCATTCAAGAGTCAACAATGGGGCTGATCACAAGCCCAAAATGGGTTTTGTAGGGTGGGTTTGAGTATAGAGATACCATCCCTGGTCATAATAGTACAACTGTTATGGTTTTCTGGCATTGTACTATTAATCATCATTGGAAGTTACTCAAAGAAATCATAGAGAATGATATAATCAACTAAAATGGGGTGCATACAAAGAAATGCACAGCTCCAAAAGAATAGCTACCCAAACTAAACATGAAAATTATGAGGTTTTCCTTTCCACAGTTACAGGAGTTCCGTTGGGACGGGAAGATGTTCTAACAATAAAAACAACCATATACAACTTTCTTGCACACATTCGTTGCAGCTCTAATTTCATATTGCGATACACAAACATCAATGCAGAACCTAAATTTGTTGCACATAATAGCCGCTGCAACGTTACTTTGATACAAGATAAATAATTTGAATGTTTTATGTTGGAAGGACATATATGGCATAGTCGTACTATTGACATTAAAAATCTTTTAAATATCATAGATCTAACCATTGTAAAATGCCACTTGTACTTACTCTACCAGTTTAGATTGAAATCAAGTAAACAACAACCCAAAATGCATGCACAAGTAAAAGGCTAGTTATTGTTATATTGCAGAGCACAAAGAAGGCCAGGGACTGCAAAGTTCAAACTTTCTCAGCTACTGCTTACCCATTCTACTAAACTCTCATCTCCAAGAGGTTGAGATGTGTCAACAGGTTTTCGACCAGTTATAAGCTCCAAAAGCACAACCCCAAAAGAGAAGACATCGGACCTGTCAGTCAACTTGCCACTGGATGCATATTCCGGTGCCATATATCTGAAAAGCAGGAATCCTAGTATAAGACTGAAAACTTGAACTGATCTTTAATTTTACAGAAAAGGCTTTTAAGGATTTCTTTTGAAGTGAAAGAATACCATAATTAGACTGTTAATGTTTTACATTACACAGCTAGGACACCACAGTTCTTTTTCAATAATGGGTGGTGGAGATTAACCTCAGTACCTGATGAAGAACACCAAACAGGAATTGCTTAATCTCCACCAACCATTGTCAAGCACTGAGAGAGGATGATCTGGATGTGTACCATATATATACCACACACAGACGGTGTACACCAGGTATATCAATGGAACTGAATTTGTTGAGTGTGTGACCATTTCATCCATGCACATCCTTTAGTTATTAAAAAATAATAATAATAATAGCTAAAAATTTAATCCACACCACAGGTCAGTTGGTACGAGCTACATAGACCCAGGATGGCCAACTTAAAGATGAAACTAAGTCATATAAGGCAAAAAACCTACCCAAATGTCCCCATAACACGAGTTGATACATGAGTGTAAGTATCATTGGTTAACTTTGCAAGCCCGAAATCTGCAACCTGCAACACATATCAAAAAATAAGGGTACACATATTCAGTGAAGTAAAATAACAAGTTCTTTTCATAAGAAAGAGCATGAAGCCTAGTCATTATAAAAGGCTTCAGGAGAGTTTGTTCGTTTGGTTCAGTTGTTAGAAGTGAGGGCTGTAGCACTATGGTCAATTCAGTTCACCCACCAAAAAGAGAAACCTACTAGGGTTGACGCATTGGATTTCAAAGTCGTTTCTACCAGAAAATTGGGCCAAATTTTGTTCCAAAAAATTTCAACGGAATGAGGAAATTTACCAGAAGTTAAAAATTCGAGCAGATTATGTTGAATAGTCAAATCAGATTTCAGGAAGGAAAATGGAACATTTTTCTATACCAAAAACCACAAACAGAAAGGAAAATTATAAAATTAAAATGTGTTAATTGATGTCATTCGGATGCCATCTATTAGCTCTACTTTTATTTCTATCCTTGGTTAAAATCTTAAACAATGAGCACAACTTTTTAGTGGAGTAAGAGAAACAAAAAAAATGGAATTCCTTTTCATTGGCCAAGTAAATAAAGTCAATTCAAGAGGAAAAAATAGCATAAATATACATGCCTGAGCTTCAAAAGAATTATCCAATAGTATGTTTGCCGACTTAATATCTCTATGGATGATTCGGGGATGGCCTGATAAAAACCACAGAGAGACGAAATAACTTATTATTAAGAGCCACATGTATTCTTCAGGTAGGCAGCCTCTACTAACTAAAGAACTAGATGTGTGTGCAGGTGTGCATGTTGTATTGTGTCTTGTGTGTGTAGTTCCTTTTCTTTGAATACACAACCAACTATAGATGATCAAGTGATATGGAGCATTACAGTCTTCATGTAGATATGCTAATCCGCGAGCAGCACCAAGTGCTATCTTGACTCTTATTCCCCAACTCATGACAGGTTGTCCTCTTCCTAGAAATAACAGCCAACCCACATTCAGACATAATAGATATCCAAGACAAGGCGAAACAAGTTAAATAAAATAGGGAAATTTTTAATCACTAAACAAATTAGGGAAACTATATTACAATCCAATGCAATATGGCATAATCACAGTTTATTGGGATCATCGTCATCCAATGAATGATGAATACCACCTGGACAACAGGACTTCATGCCAATGGTGTCTCCCACCCTCCCCATCATTACCCACGGTTCTGGTGGATGGTGAAGACCCCAATGACCATGGTTTTCTTATAACCCATTGGGTTACAGTATACTTTGCAATAATCAAGGCAATGAGAACAAAATTCACTCCCAAAACCACAGCTAGTATGACTATTTCTATTTCCCAAAAGCACAAAATACTATGCTTTGCATTTACTCATCCAAAGCAAAAAGACAATCTTACCATGCAGATGATACTCAAGAGTATTGTTTGGAACAAATTCATAGACAAGCAACCTGTGGTGCTCAGCTATACAGTAACCCACAAGAGAAACCAGGTGGCGGTGGTGAACCCTACTGATGATTTCAACTTCAGCCCTAAATTCTCTCTCTCCCTGTCCACCCCCAGCCTTGAGTTGTTTCACCGCTACTTCTCTCCCATCAGGAAGATGCCCCTTATAAACACACCCAAAACCACCTTCTCCAAGAAGATTATTTTGAGAAAACCCATTTGTGATCTCCACTAGCTCTTCATAAGTGAACCAAGATTTGGAATGACCCAAGCCCGATGGTTCAGGAGGTCCACCTTGTTGAAACCCATGTCCATTGTAGCCTGCATAGCCATTTCCTATTGGAGGAGGTGAAGGAGGGCGCTTAGCAGAGCCTAAGTCCGAGAAAGCAGAGTTTCCTACAGCAGGTGCTTGCCTATAGTAATAGCCATCTAGAGAGACAAAAGAATTGTATCAGCCTTATGCCCATAGCAATATACATCTAAAAGAGAATAACACCATCAGGCCTACAGAAAAAGCTCAACAACAATTTCAAGACAATGATAAAAAATAAGTGTGTGTTTTATATGCATGTGGAGTCCCTCTTGGTGCAATATAAGAGAACAAATGGGCATGCAACATATTAGTCATCTCATAACTATGATCTTGGCAGTTGGTTTATTGCACTTTATCTGCTTGATGAGCATTTATCAACTAGAGAACTTTTCTAAACTGCTATACTAGGATCCTAGTAAAATAATTTTCTTGAAAAAGATGATTCAAGCACTGCAGCTCATGAAGTGGCAGTTGAAACCCATTCATAATTAAGAACTCCTATGAACACCACATTTATAAATAGATTAAAAAACTACAAAAAAAAAAGCACAAAGACAAACTGGGAGACAGAACGAGGAAAAAATAAAACACGCTGCTGCTTCTCAAATATAGATTAACCTACAACAACTAATCAAATTACTAGGTCTAATTCATAAATGTGCCAATAAGACAAGCAAAATGAGCTAGAACAGAGCATTGCAATCCATAGACCTAATATAGATATCCAAATTTTATGAAAATTAAAATAGGTCCTTTCATTTCCTTTTTTGCTCTTTCAGATAAGTAAATATTCACTCTTCAAGTGAAAGAAACACACACCAAATTTCACTCAAAAGTACAAACAAACAAAGAATGAAAGACCTATACAACAAAAGGGAAAACAAAAAGAAAGAAAGGGCAAACCAAACAAGAGAAAGAAAGGAAATTTGCCTCTTTACCTGATTTAACGGAGAAACTCCCAGGCGAAGGCCTGTAGGGATCAGCCAAACCATCAGCCCTCCTCTTCCTCTTCCTTGTAAACATGAACAGCACCGCAATCAAGCCTATCAAAACCACTCCAGCAACAGCTATCCCCACTGCCCCATTCTTCCCAATTCCACCACCGGACCCTGAACCTGTTTCAGTCACACCATGCCAAGAGGAGGGGGGGCTAGTGGATGGTGCTTTGGTCGATGTTTGAGATGGAGGAGAGGTAGAATTGGAAGGAACAGAACGATCGGGGGAACTAGGTGTTGGTGTAACTGGGCTTGAACCTCCACTTGGGGGGGGCACAATGGGGGGGGTTAAATTCGGAGGTGAGTCTGTTTTCGGTGTCCCTTCTGAAGGGGGCGGAGACGTAATTTGAGGGGGCGAAGAGGAGTCAGGAGGAGGCAAACGATCAGAAGGGGGACGAGGAGATATAATATTAGAAGGTGGAGGACTCGATGAAGTAACAGGATGAGGAGGTGATTTGCTCGAATGGGTTGGAGGTGATTCTTTCTTAGGTGGAGGAGGGACAGAGGAGGGAGGAGAGAGAGAGGAAGGGGGGGGATTGGCTGAAGGTGGAGAATTCGAAATTGATGGAGGGGATCCAGGCAAAGGCGAACTGGGCGTTGGCGGCGGTGAGGGGTTGGAAGTAAGGGGAGGGTCACTAGTTGGAGGAGAAGAATTTGGTGGTGTTTGAGAGGGTGGGGTGGGGGGACTTTCTGGCGGGTTTTGGCCAGAACCTGGTGGTGAGGGAGGGCTTTCTGGGGGGTTGTTGCCGGAATTCGGTGAAGGAGGAGGGGGATTATGGCTGGATTGAGGGGGAGGAGGGAGGGGGGGAGAAGGGAGTGTTGGAGAGAGAGAAGGAGGGGGTGAAGAGGCTTGGGTAAGAGGAGGGCTTGGAGGAGGAGAACCAGTTGAGGTTGAATTACCAGATGATGGGGAACTAGGAGCTGGAGCTGAATTAGACATTTTGCTCCCTGTATGATTCAATTTGCTTATGGGGGGGATTTGTTTCTTTTGTTTTGAGCTGGGTTTCCCCTGAGATGTTTTCTCCAGATCCAAAATCCGCTATTTGGTTCCTTTAGTTTCGAGCTGGTTTTCCTATGGGTTTTTCTCTCTGGATCCAAACCAAGAATTCCAATTTCAGTAAATCAAGCAAATTTTTCTCAATTATGGGAGTGGGAAGAAAAAACAGAGCCAGACATAAAACTCCCCTCCAAATTTCCAATCTCGATTTGTAAATGTTGCAAACGCAAAGATAGAAAAAATGCCAACATCTCAAGCCCTAAATCCCTCCATTCAGATATCAAAAAACCCAAAGGTTTCAGTTATGTTCTCTGGCTTCTGATAAAACAATCAAAATGTCGAATTTCCTCTGTAATTTCCAGCAACACCCAGACGGCAATCCCCTAAAAGATCAAGTTTTGATGTCTAATTCTACAAAAAAAAACAGTAAGAGAGAGAAAGAGATGGAAAAAGAGAGAAAGAGGGAGTTTTAGCAAAATGAATACCAGACCTCCTTTCCTCCGACGCAAAAGGCCCCATTTTGAAATGGGGTGGAGCTAAATTGCCTGAATACAGGAGTCCTTCTTCGCCATCGACCCTAGTGAGAGAAAGAAGAGAGAGAGAAGGCTTTGAACAATGAAGCCTACCCTGTAAAATGTAAATGCATAAAAGAGGAAAACCAAAAAAAAAAAGCCTACGTGTTAGGAGGGTTTATAGTTTGATTATTCTTTTTACTAATAATAAACTCCTCAAACCGTTTCTCTAATAAATTATCAAACTCCTCCAAATTTGGCGGATCCGCGAAATTTGTCTGAATATCAAATACAAAAGCCGGGCTTCAATCCCCGCCAGACCTTCGAGAATTTCATTAACCTTCAAATAAACGGCTTTTTTCTCTTTCTATGTGTATTTTATTAACTCTGTTAAATTAAATATTATGTTAAGGGAAAAGTTTATATAGAGCCGAGGCTCTAAACAATCAAATTGGAACGCATCTCAAAATTTTTACTAAAAAAGATTGTTTTGATGCTCAAAAATCTTTAAATTGATCATCTCAAAATGACGATGCATAGACATGAGAAAAAAAAAATAGATTTCAAAATTTGAAAATAGTACATCTTGTAATGCATTTTTTTACCATCAATTTTTAAGATTTTTGAGTTTTTGTAGATTTGTTCGATCTACATTTCTTTTTAAAACTTGAAATTTTACAATTAAAGATAAAAATATATTTTAAAGCTATCACAAAGATTTTCATTATTGAAACCGCGACGAAGGTGAGAGCCTCGAATCTAAACAAAACGCACCCTAAATTAAATATTCAATTATTCTCCTTTAACTTTTAAACCAAACGATAAGAAATAGGATTTACTCAAAATTTTAGCTTTTCAAATTGCCCCTTTCTTGGTTTTGTGCTCCTATCTTTGGTTCCATGGATATGCCCTCTGCTTTTGCAAAAGTATCGAAAGCACCCATATTCTATTCATTAGCATTTTATTCCTTTGGTCAGGCTTTTCCTAAAGCAAATGAGTCAATAAACGTCCTTTTTTCTTTCACTTTCTTACGAAAAATATCTCCTTTGTTTCGGCATTTGCTAAAGAGGAATGGGAAAATTACTTCTGAGTTTTAAAACACCATTCCTCTCTATTAAAATATTTATTGGATATACTATAAGGGAATGGTGGAAGGGTGCACAACTGCCTTTTCAATAGTTCAGATTAAACATGGACGCATCCGCATCCAATAGCCGTAAAAGAGTTTTATAATAATATTTATTTAAAATTTATATTATAAATATATTTTTAAATAATAACCTAAAAAAATAAAATAAAAATTATTTTGAATAAAATAGTTGACCAAAATCCGTTTAAATTATTTAAAGGGTATTGTGGTTAACTATTTTATTTAATATATTTTTATTGAGAAAGTTAGAAATAAGTCATGATTTATTTTTCAGATTTAAAAACGATCGAATATATTTCATATTTTATAATCAAGTTCGTTTTCTAGAAAATAAGCTATATTTCAATCTTGTCACTTTTTTATGCATCGGATTTAGCTGAAATTTAGTATATTAATTATTCTCACTATGATACAATTATAAAAAAAATTTAAAATAAATAAAACTATCAAACTACCCATGAGTAATACAAGAATAGTTTTGTAATTATATTTATTTTAATTTTTTTTAAAACGAGACAACTTATGTTTAAAAAAATGAGATTTGATGGTAAAATATAAACTATGTGAGACTACTTTTAATGTAAAAAATAAGAGAGTATTTATTTGTAAATTTTCTATTTTTATTTATGCACCACATAGAAATACAACTATACCCTACAATTTCAAATAAATATTTTTTAAAAATAAAATACAAAGATGATTCTAGGTTCATTGTAGGGTGCTTGCTCACCCTTCGAACGTCCACATGACATGGACGCCATACCATCCCTTACCAAAAAAAATAAGGATACCTAAAATAAGGATGTGAATGCGATACCATCCTTTGACTAAACATGAAAAGCATACCTAAAAAATAAGGGAAATATATCTCAATGTTCTCTCAAGCAATTAGGGCCACCTTTCCTCTTTGGTTCAAGACAGGAAATGTCAAAAGGCCAACCTGGAAGCAGATAATAATCCCATAAACATGGTATTTGTATGCCATGCTAGTCTATAAAGGCCTGGCCCTTGTCCGACCCGACCGTAATTGGGGTGAAAAGGCCATGACCTAGTCGTGGTTGTGGCCCTATTCAGGCCGCGCATAAAACAATCCGAAAATATATAGGGAAAAAAACTAAAGAAAAAATCAGGCAGGTTAGGGTTGGTCCGCCTGTTGTGGCCCTGACCCAACCCTCGGGCTCTGATGGCTCGGCCTGGGCCCGGCCCTGGTTTGTTAGGGTTGGGCACCTGGACAGCGCTTTGACTATATGGTAAGACGCCTTCATTAAAAACAAAAAAATTGTGATTTATTCACCAGTGTATTTGTTTAATTTTTTAGATTAACGATTAAACATTATGACCATTGTTTTTTAAAAAAAAAATCCTTGACTTCTAGAACAAAATAAAGGTTATGCTAAATACAATATTTAGTTTCCTATGACTTCTATAAACGAAAAAACAAATGTTGTGCTTATTTAGTTTATTATCCAATTTTACCGATTAGAGCAACTAAAATTTTATTGATTAGAACAACTTAATCTATATCTTTCTCATTTATTGCTGAAGAAGTTATGAGATCTCCACATGGCATTGGATGGTTTTATAAAAAGAAGCGCTCTAATCCTTGTACGATAATCATAGAATTATTATAAAAATCTTTAGATTTGTCATTTTCCTTTGTGTTTGTGCTGTTAGAGAGGTCCAATTACGAAGGTTGTTTTCGAAGATCTGTACCGCCTATCATTGGTTTAATTATTTTATCATTCTTTTTTGAGCGCGTGTATTTTGGAGAGTGAGAGGGTCGATGACTCCAATAAAACTGAAAATGTAAAAGGATATAATGCAACCCGATTTATTTTAAGAAAATGGTTTGATAGGGCCGCAGTTCTATCAAAATAACTAAAGCTTTGCGTCATAACTCATTGAAAATTGCAATTCAAGCATTCGATCATCTCGGCTTGAAATTTATGGATGTAAAAAAAATTGAGATTTCGAGCTCTAAAAATAATGTTTATAATAACAAAGTATCTAGATCATCCATTTCGTCTTAAAAATAAGTGTTTGCAAATATGTAAGGTTTGTGCCATTTTTTTAGTTTCAAAATTTTATTGTCGGTTATAGATATTGATTTTAAAGCCATCATGGTTTTAGATGAAGATTTGAAATGATGCTTTATTTTGTTTTCATAAAGCCTAAGTCTTATAGAAACCTATTTTAATTTAATAATTAATATACACAGAGAGAGGGAGATTACATGAGCAACAACAAAAAAAAAATTGGTTCATGCGTGCTGGACTGCATTTCTACATATGCAGTCTAAAAAATTTAAAGCATCCATCTTGAATATGGATGCAAGTAGGTAATCCATTTAAAAACAATGGAAACTAACAAGTTTCAAATGTTTTTTTACTGAAAACTATTATTTTTAGTTTTTAAAATTTATTTATTTTTTTATACTTATCTTTAAAAGTTAAATTTTAAAATCCAACTAAAAAATAAATTTTTACATATGAGCTCTTGGCCGCATAAAAACCGGGTACGGGAGGGAGGGCGGTTATGGGTGCGGTTTAAAATGTTGCCGTGTAGGGGAGGGGAGGGGAGCGTCGCGGGGGATGACATCTACCCTTGTTGACTACAAACGTGAGGAGAAGTCATTGGAAGAGAGGGAGAGAAAGGGTTGGAAAAATTGATCCAGTTTGAAAAAAGATAAGATGGGGATTATTAGTTTATTTGAAAGCTACGGGCAGCATTAGAATATGTTTCCCCTTGGAGCCAATCATGTTCCCTTTGACTTTTAAACACTTCTCATCTCTCCCATTCCAAGGGGAATGGGACTAATTGCCTCCCTTAGCTGGGTGCTACCCCCGCTCTTGAGGGAGGGAGTGGTGGGCGACATGCATGAGCAAATGCAAGTCTCCCACTCTTGTTTCAATGTATTCATTTTTATTATTGACACCCTCAATTAATAGCACTTTTAAAATATAACTCCTTAATCTATTTAAAATACGGATAAAGCTTGTATTCCCCACTAAATTATCCAAAAAAATAAAAAAAATTACAAGCATGGGGAGGGCGAGCATTAGCTATAGCCCTCTTCTACATCCTACATGCTCCATGTTGCAGGGAGAGAACGATTGATTTTAGATCATAACTAGCACCATTTCTTAGGATAAATAAATTTTGTATCTTTACGCTTACAAAACGTTTAAATGTGCTACAATATCGGCCGTGGGTTCATATCTAGCTTGGGCACGGAGCAAAAGACTTACATGTCCTAAAGACTTTTCCTAGCCCCATGTGTTTTTGGAGAGGCAAATTAGAAGCTCAAAACAGGCGGCCCATGATTCATACCAAGGTTTTAAAAAGTGTTTATTGATCCAAATGGTTCGTTTTGGATTGGGAACAGCCGAGGCCATACCGGTTGCTGTTAAATATCAAGAAACCATTTCCTGCTAAATATTGGGATCCTGGCAGTTCCCCATGAATAAGACAATTTTAGCTGGTTCTGTCCAGAATTGGCCTCACTTTTTTATAGTCATTATCGTCATCATATATTCTTTCTAACTAATTGGGATCGGTTACACGAATCTTGGTTTTTCATTCTGCTCTATTAAGGGCTATCATCAATGAGGCTACAAGTCCCCATATATTTTTCACTAACCCTAGCCATGTCCTTGTGCGTCTATCCTTTATTTTTTTTTAGCGTTCCACTTGATCTAACTCGTACCTCCTAACAAATATTGTATTATGTATGTGTTGCAAATGGTCAGTTTACTTGAATCTATTTTCTCTCATCTTATCGCCTACTAGTGCCACACCTAAATTTTTCATAATGTGTTCATTTTGAATTCTATGCCTTTTTGTCTTGCCACTCATCCAACTCAACATCATCATCTAAGCTACACACATTTTATGGATATGGTGTTTCTTGAATGCCCAACATTTTGTCCTATAAAGTAAAACTAGTTTCACGACTGTCTTGTAAAACTTGCCTTTCAACTTCATTAGTATGCGGCAATCACATAAACCTCATGTTGCACATCTCCACTTCCTCCACTCAACTCTAATTCTATATGTGATATATTCCTCAATTTTTCTATTTTCCTGGATTATTGACCCAAGATATCAAAATTATACTCTTTTTGGTATTTTTTAAGCATCAATCTTAACTACTTCATCGTCTCTACTCTTATTTTGACTAAAGTTGTATTTCATATACTTTGTCGTAGTCTGACTAATTTTAAAACTTTTAGATTCTAAAGCTTCACTCCAAAGTTCTAACTTTCTATTGTTATCGCTTAGAGTCTCATCAATTAAAACTATGCCGCCCTCGAAAACATGCACCATGGTATCTAGTTAAAAGTCGTTCATAAATATGACAAAAGAGGTGTAGGCTCAATGCTGACCCCTGATGTAGACCTATTGTCGTTGAAACCTCACTTGTCTCTCCACTAGTTGTTTGCATACTAGTTAGCGCTCCCTTGTATATATTTCTCACCAAGTCAATATAGTGTTTTGAGACATCTTTCTTTTCCAATACCTATCAAATCAAATCTTAAAGTACTCTACCATAAGCTTTATCTAGATCAATAAAGACTGTATCGGGGTCTTTATAAAAAAATCAAAATTTTTAATTTTTTTATGATCGTTTCACTGAGTCGGATCATTGAACCCGATCAAAAATCCAGATGAGCGACCCAAATCAACGATCCAATTTTAGAAACCTTGATCCATACAATCATAGTTGCAAGGAATATTCATACTTTTGCCTGAACTCGTAAATACCAACAAGGGGAAAAGTCATCTAAGGGGTCAAAAACCTTCACGAAATCATTTAATCGTAAAAAAAAATCTGAAAATTAACATCGAAAAGTTCACTTTTTAATTTCTATTTTACTTAGATAACTCTAAAAAAAAATAACTTTAAAGGTAAAAAATTGCATTTGTTCAATACTAGGAATCTTGAACATATAAGGGTATTTAAATAATTTGACCCAACTTGGACAAGCAAGTAGGAGTGACAATAGGTCGGGTAGCTCATCCCAGCCCTCAAAGACTAAGCCTTGGGTAACAATAACTGGCCTAGCCTGTGGGCCATGTCGAGCCTGGGCTAGGGCCATAGTAGGGTCAGTCCTAACTTTTGTTTCCCTTATTTTTTCTTTCTTTTTTTGATTCTATTTGGCTTGGTCTGGCCCTAATAGGGCCAAGGTTTATTCAACCCAGACCGAGCTAAGGTCAAGCATTCCCTATAGGGACCAGGGCTAGGGTTGTCCTATGCTCGGCTCATTTCGAGCCCCATAGTAGTGGTACTCCCATCATTTGGTTGGGTTGGGGCCTCTTAGTTTGGTCAAATTACTGAAACACCTTTATTTAATCAATATCCCCAATCCTGAACATGAGCAATTTGAGTATTTTTAAAAAAAAGTTTTGAGGAGATACTTGAGTAAAGTAAAATTAAAAAAAATACAAATCCCAAGTATTAATTGGAATCGTTTGAACCCCTTTGTAAGGAGTTTTGACTCCTTAAATTATTTCTTCCTGCCCATAATTTAATTTTCCATCAATCTTGTATGAGAACGGATTCCCAATTTTGTTTAAAGCATGGTTGTGGTTTCCATAAGGTTGCAAACAATCCAAATAATGTGCATTTTCAAATTTTATCATAACATATAACTTTGATGTAAAATGTTCTTAGGATTATCTCAAAATCTATTTTCATACTTAATTATAAAATTTTAAACTTAAAAAATAGTTAAAATCAAATAGATCTATAAACATATAAAAAACTTGAAAATGAACGGTCTAGATCATATGTTGTAAGATGCACTATTTATGGAACTCAAAATCCATTTTTTTCTTCATAGTCATACATCTCGATGTCGAGATGATCAATTAGAGGGTTTTTCAACATTAAAACAACATTTTTCAATGGATTTTTGAGGTGCATCCGTAGTTCTACATTGCAACCTTATATAAACTTTTTCCTTAAAACATTCCTCAACACTCACACGAGTTAACTGTGACTTCCTTTTCCACTTTTTATTTTTTCTGAATCATAGTTTGTCGAAGCCTCATCTGCTCCGTTTTATACAAGATCAAATATATTTGTACATCACTTTTGGAAAAGCAGCTAATCCACACTGTTCAACAAAAGAAAGAAAATTGTTGTGAGCTTGAGAAGTTGAGAGTTTTTTGTTGTATTCTGGCTATAAAAACTATCATGAGTTATTTATGAATAATATCTTCTTTAAACTTAGGAATTTTAGAAAGTGTGTCTTATTTGTAGAGAGATAAGTAGTGAGTTACCTATTCTATATTGAATAATCGAGTAAAAAAAAGCGTTCTTATATATATAGAGGTATACCTGGACTTGTGTCCTAACAATCAATAATAGAGAAAGCCCAAACAGAGCATGTGAAACAAGAGTACGTGCGGGTGCCTATTTGTCCACCAAAGGAAGACTTGGTATATTTCTTGTGTGCTATTGCCTTTTTGGTGTCCCACCTCTAAAAAGATGCAACTCTATGATTGCGATATTCGTGCATTTGTATTGGCAAGATAGTTAACAATCTTCTATTTTTTTGTATCCCGAGAATAAACTTGTTTACATAACTTAGATGCACATTGATTAATGCCAATAAAAGGCAAATATTGTCTTGTGATAGTGATCTAATCATGTTTGTAAACAAAGAGATTACATTCGCAAGATAGTTTATCAGTTGTCTATTCCCTTGTATTCCAAGGATAAACTTGTGAGGAGAACTTAGGTGCACACATATTCATATCAATAGGTCTTGTTATAGTGATATAATCGTGTTTCGAAACAAAAAGATTGAACTTCCTATTTTGGTTCAAAAGAAAAAAAATTATAAATCCCAAAAAAAGGAGAAATGAAATTTATCTTGATAATATAACTTGCCAATATTTAGAACTAATGAGGCAGAGCTGCTTTTTTTATTAACTGGTATCAAGATTATTGTCAACAATGGTCTGGTGATCCGATCCCTAGGGTGGCCGATCCACCCCCATTAATCTGGGTTTTAAAACTTTGAATAAAGCCAACCCAAAATGAAGAAACAAACCCGATGGCTTTAAGATTTGGATTGCCTCACTAGCTTCTCATTGGCCATTATACTTGCTTTCACCTATAATTTGAAAAGTTTTCTAAAATATATGGGATTGTATACGATAAGACTAATTATCTTTGTTATAAGGAGGTCACAATTGGCAATTATTGCTATCCATTAGATGTTATATTGGATAGTTCAAGTTTGAGAAGTCTTTTTTTGAACTTTAAATTTAGTCAACCACACACTCACAACCACTTGATTTGGAATCCGACAAACAAGAGTGATTATAACTTCCTTATATTAAAAGTAAAAGGTCTCTCTGATTACTGTTCCAAAATGTATTTGATTACATTTCCAAAATGCATTATAAAAAAAAAAAAGAAAAAGAAAATATAATTTACATTCAGACAAAAAAAAGAAAAAAAAGGTGTGGTTTGTAAAGAGCTGAGACTCTAAATAATCAAAATAAAACGCATTCAAATAGTGTCTAAACAATCAAATAAATCTCGCAATCTTTTTTTTGTTTGAATATTAATAAAAGAAAAAAGTTTATACAAGGTTGTAACCGTAAAATGTAGTATTAAAGATGCATCTAAGAAAATCCATCGAAAAAAGTTATTTTAATGTCGAAAATCCCTCTAATCGATCATCTCGATATCGAGATGTATGAATATAATATATAAATATAGAATTTTTTTTTTTTTTATTTCAAAAAATAGTTTATCTTGTAATATATTATATATACCATTTATTTTTTATTTTTTTCATATATTTATAGATCTACTTGTTTTTAACTGTTTTTTAATTTAAAATTTTATATGGAGAGATGAGAATAGATTTTTAGATAATCTTAAGAATTTATAGACCAAAATTACATCTTACGATGAAATTTGGAAGTGTGTATGAATTGGATTGTTCCCAACCTTATACAAACCACCCTCTTCATAAAATCCCGAGTCATGAGACAAATTTTCGTCCGCTGCAGAAAGAGAGTAAAGAGGTGGGGGAGAGAATGGAAATGGGCGGGTAGAGAGAGGCTATGCGCTCTCAGCAGCTAGAGAGAGAAAGAACAACGGCATGGAGAGCAGGTAGAGAGAGGGAAAATGTTGAAACTTGGATCATGTCGAAATTTCCGTCTGTTGTAGCTAATTTCCGCATCTTTTTCATCATCTATTTGGACATGAAAAGGTTGTTCTTTAATTTTGATCTATTTGTTAATGGCATAATTTCCAGGACGTCAATGGATCGTGATGGTGTTCGTTTTCCAGTCCCCCATAGAAACGTCACAGTTAATATCAAGGTATTTTTTCTTATGTATTTTTGGACTTATTTTCTTCCTGTAATTTCTTCCTTGTAGTTGTGGATTCTATGTGGTGATTAGAGTGGGTTTTATTCAGTTACATGAATATGAGACTTTTGAATTATTTACTATTCTTATTTTCATTTATCCCTGTTTCCATAATTAAAACCATCAAGTTTCTACTTAAATATTTTTGTGTAATCTTATGTATTGTCCACACAGTGTAACTACAAATTATTGGGTAAAAAAGAAAAAAGGGAAAACATTGCGTGCTTACAATGATTTAATTCTATCTAAACATCATTTTTCTTTTCATTTTGTGGCAGAAGGCTGTGTAATTCTATTTTATCCTGTATTTCAGTTCTGCTATTTGGGTTTTACTGAACTCTTATATTTGCATTTGTTTTTAATTCTGTATTATAGGGTTTCTCATGGATTTCGTTTTCGCTTTTTGGGTTTTACTTAACTTTTATTTATTGTATTTTTGAAGTTGGGTTCGGCCAAATTGAAGAATGGGCCTAAAGCCCTCATCGATGGTGTTTTTGGGAACTTTATGGATAGTATTTTCTTTTATTTTCTAGAATGTTTTTGTTTTTGTTTTATTAATTTTTCCTGCAAATCTTTCCCATCTTTTTTTTTTTTATCTTTTTCTTTGAGGTGTTTCCCCTTTCATTTCTAGAGTTTTACATCATATATTCCATTTTCAAAGTAGGTGATATTGATTTATTTCCCCCAAATGTACAGCCGATCGTGTGCTTTTCTTATTCTCGTAGACGGAAAAGGAAACTGCTTCACTTGAAAATTTTACAAGCTATATAGACATCATGGTAGGATAGGTGCATCTCATAATCCCTATGCTAGAATTATTATTTACAAGATAAATTTCTTAATATCTTCCTGTGCCCATCAACATATTATGGAACTGTATTCTACTACCCTCAAAATAAACCAATGCTTGTTCTTAAATTTTTGTGTTTTTTAACCTTATGTTCCCATAGGTCTAGTAGACATTTTGATATATGAGGGAGTTCTGAAATATAGCTAACAATAAACTTGTCGACATTAAATTAAATGAATGGGCTTCTTACTCTAGTAGTTTTCGACATTTTAGGGTCCATACATACACTCGTTCTCATCTCTGCCAAAGTGAAATCGACAATTTCATAGGGTGTATGTAGCAAGGACTTTTTCTTCCATAAATTCTACAAGGTTTTCCTCATAATGTCTTAAGATTGTGTGGAATAATCTTCTTGATTGTATATCTTAAAATACTTTCCAAAATATTTGTAAAGTTGCTCAAAAGCTTTCAAGATTTTTTTGACCAAGCAGATATTATGCAAACAACCTTGAAAGATTTTTGCTAAAAAAATTTCATGGTCACATGATGCGAATCTGGACAGTGCTTTAAAAATGGAACCAGAGGGCCGAACTGGTCACAGGCTGAATGAAGCCTGATCGGCCATTTCTGATTGTGCTTGTAGTTCTCCATGATATTTTTACTAAAAAAATAAAATAAAAAAATAAAAACCGATGGGAACTAGTGGGAACTGGGCAAGTCCGGGGGGTCTTTAAGACCCAAAGAGTGCATCCACCTCCGGCTTGGACGGTTCAGAGCTAGCTGGCCTGTTTTTAAAACATTATTTCATTAGAAACGATTTTTTTATCCAACAAACCCAAACGGGGATTTTAGAGGAAAGTTGCTGCCAATCTCAAGTGATAGATAACTGTAGACTTATAGGTTGTTATCGAAAGAGTAATGTATTAGCATTTGCTCTCAGGTAGATGCATTCTGAGTTTGTCTTGGTAAATTAAACATGCTGTGCCAAATTGGGAATTTATAGGCTATATGAACAATTTGAATACAATACTTGATATATTTGTTTCTGAGCATCCGTTACATCAAAGTTTCAAGAAGAAATGGAGCTTCAGAGAGTATGCGTCACATCAAATTTTAATGAATAAATGGAGCTTCAATTATTACTGATCTCATGAAGCATGGAAGAGACTATTTAGTAGTTGCTCTTCAACATTTTCATCTAGCTTTTAGCTTTGATTTTAGGAAGCTATGGTGGAGACTATTTAGTACTCTTATATTAACAATGTGAGCTTGGCTGCCAATGAAGCTTATGAAATGCCAACAGTTTACGAAACTAGAAGTGGTAAAACAGCATCGCTGACCAAAGTATAAGAACATTGCTGCTGATTTTCAACAAAAAAAATAAAATTGAAAACTATCCACGTTTATGTTTTCCTAAAATGATTAGATTAATCCTAGATGTCACAAAAGAAAAGAGTTAATTTCTTATTCAAAGTTAGTTATTATCGTTGCTTCTTCATTTGTTTCAAAAATTGCCTACCCTTTTGGCCATTCATGGGTTTGTTTCTATATTTCATGTCGTACTGTCCTGGTATGAAACATTTTTGCCACAAGAGTACGAATTTCCTTTACTGTTTGAGGCATTCCGCATTTTATGGTACCGTAAATTTCTCTTTAAAAGTTGCTTGTGATGCCAGATTTTGTCCAGTGAACACATAATAATGGACATTGTCTTTTTTTCCTTTACTGTTTGAGGCATTCTACATTTTATGGTACCGTAAATTTCTCTTTAAAAGTTGCTTGTGATGCCAGATTTTGTGCAGTGAACACATAATAATGGACATTGTCTTTTTCTCTTCACAGGGAGCAAAAACAGATATACTGATATGCAGTTATGAAGATCATATTCTTGTAGGTACAAAATTGTATTTTCTCTGCTTTATTATGATACTCTGAAGATGTTTCTTACACCTAATGACAGTCCAGGTGGTTGCAACACAGATAGGAAGTATGGGAACCATCTTGCATGCAAGGTCTTTCCTCATCCCCATTTTTATTTTTATTTTTCTCTTTTTTTTTTTATGGAGTTTCTCGACTCCAACTTTATATTGGATAGTTCCCTCTGCTGTCTCACTTTGGTTTCTCTATGTGGTCATTTTGATGGATATGATACAGAGGGAGGGAGGGAGGGAGGGTCATTTTGATGGACATGATACAGAGGGAGGGAGGGGGGGGTCATTTTGATGGACATGATAGGGAGGGAGGGAGGGTCAATTTGATGGACATGATAGGGAGGGAGGGAGGGTCATGTTGATGGACATGATACAGAGGGAGGGAGGGAGGGAGGGGGGGTCATTTTGATGGACATGATACAGAGGGAGGGAGGGAGGGAGGGTCTTGTTCTTTCGGGTGCAACCATCCATCACCATCCATTATTTCATTGGTTGGTACTATTCACCATTTAACCGGTCGGTCTGTCTACTGGCTATAGTCTACTTTCCCTACGGGGAACATAAAACTTGAAATTAGTAGGAGGGAGGGAGGGAGGGAGAGAGAGAGAGAGAGGTCGGGTCTTGTTCTTTCGGGTGCCACCTCCATCACCATCCATTATTTCATTGGTTGGTACTATCCACTATTTAACCGGTTGGTCTGTCTATTGGCTATAGTCTACTTTCCCTATGGGGAACATAAAACTTGAAATTAGTACTTAATTGAGCTAAAGAACCACATCTTTTTTTTTATGGAAACTATATGAAGAACAGTTTTAAACCTGGATTCTTTTTCCATTGTTCTCCACCAGGAAGGAGGAAGGTGTATCCATCAACCCAACTTTCAATGTGTCTGTCATATTTGGGAAGAGGGATGAGGTAAACAGGGAGGCCTTATAATCATCTGTACTATTTGATTTGAAAATTCCACCAATACATACATATATACATACATACATATGCGTTCATTCATTCATTCATGCAAGCATGCATGTTTTGCGTATTTATTTAGATAATGCTGAACTCTCATCTCAATTTCATGGTACCTGCAGCCCATGCTTGTGGCATGTGCTCGGCAGCTTATTGAGCATATAAGGTGTGTAAATGAGCGCACTATTTATTGGATATTTGTTGAAGATAATTTTGTTCAATAAGCAATGAATTTGTTATGTTCTGATAAATTGGTTTATTTCCCTGTAAAAACAGTTTATACACATACATACACGGATAGACCCCTTTTGTTATGATGTCAGTTTAAAACGAAACTTCGAATTCGAACTTTTAGGACTGAGTTCTTATGATCTGTTGGGTTTCTGCAGTAGCTCAGGTTCTTCAAGAGCACTGGTACTGTCTCTAGGACTCAAGGACCACTCTGCGGTAACATCTTGAATACTGGAATTTTATTTTAATTGTAGTGATTTCTAGTTAGATTATACACATGTGTGTGTGTGTGTGTGTGTGTGTGTGTATGTGTGTGTATGTGTATGTGTATGTGTATGTGTATGAGAGAGAGAGAGAGAGAGAGAAGACCATTAATTTATGTTCATCTCATGATCCACTCCATGTTCCTTCAAGGTCCACTCTGTATTCCTCGACCATATTCATGACTGTGTGCCCTTCACCTGTGACCTGTAACCAAATTTTCCTGTTGGATATGGTCCTCAAGAGAGAGAGAGAGAGAGAGGTGCCATTGATTTTAGGTCATCTCATGAAACAGTCCATATTTCTCCACCACATTCACAACTGTGAACCATTTTCACCTCTGAATCGCAACTGACTTCCCCATTAGCTTTCGAACTTAATCCTTCTAAGCCTTGCTTCATTACCCAAGAAGGGAGAATTGGTTTTATGATTGTTAAACCAGTTCCTTGTTGCCCATACCTTAACCAACTCAATCAACCTCTTGATGATGAACATTCTAAGTAAGAGTCTCTTCAAAGAGAGGGTCTGGGCGTCTGCTGCCTGGAATGTTGCCAATTAAGAAAGTTGGCAGGTATTCCATTTGAAAGGAGCCGGGCTCTCTCTCTCTCCCTGTGGCAAATGGCATCTCCTTTCACCACTCATTAAGAGTGGTTAGTACTTCAAACTGGAAGATATGCTCTCTCCCTCTCTTTCTCTCTCTCGCTCTGTATGTTACAGTCAAAGCAGTTTAGGTGTCTCTCTCAGAAGCCATTGGTATCTCTATCAGCCTCCCACTAAGGGTGGGGAATATATGAAGCAGTGCAGCTGTGGAAGGCCATGGCATTGATTATATTTAGGATAATTACTAAAAACATAATGTAAAAGCTGATCTCAAAACTTTTTTTTTTATTTGATAAGTAATGAGTAATTTCAAGTGGTTTTAAAACTAGTCTTGGACGGTAGTTTTCGTCTAACTTGCCAGTTTATAAAATTTTAAAAACTGTGGCATCCGAAGTTTTCTATATGGAGACCTTCATATTGTGTGCATCGGCATGCATTGTCTTTATCCATATTTATGTGTATGGTATGTTGCAGGAAACTCTTAGAGCAGTTGTTGCTGCTGTGACTGCTATTAGCCTCTGGTAATACGGGGAACTCTTGCAGTGATAAGAGAGAGAGAGAGAGAGAGAGAGGTATTAGTTTTATGAGATGACTGCATTGACTCAGAGA